TTTTTTTTTTTTTTTTTTTTTTTTTTGTTGTTAAAGATATTTTTTGCCTTTAATGGACAGGACAGTTAAGCGTGAAAGGGGGGGGGGGGAGAGAGAGAGGATGACATGCAGCAAAGGGCCACAGGCTGGACTCGAACCCGGGCTGCTGCGGCAACAGCCTTGTACATGGGGCGCCTGCTCTACCACTAAGCCACCGACGCCCCACGAAAATGCTTTCTAGTTTTAGTCTCATTTCAGTTATTTTTATCTTTCACAGTTTGTCGCAAACATCTCAAAACGTTTTAGTCCAGTTTTACTTGATAAAGTATCATTACTTTTTAGCCATCTTCTAGTTATTATATCTATCTAGTTATTACTTTGAATCAAAAAGTTTTTTATTGTTAAAACTAATCCAATCAGGAAAATACAGGTTTCGGAATTTGGAATCAAGGTGACAGGTTGTATCAAGTGTTGAAGTTTCATTTAGACAGATTTTTACAACTAATTTTACAAAAAAAATTGTGTTTCAAACTTGCATTTCTCCAGTAGAGTTTTTGACAGGTTTAAAGGATGATTTATGACTGCACAATTACTGATCAACATTTGAAAAGCTCAAAATCTCAAACTTATAAATACCATAAATAACAAATTGGAGACAACTAGACAACTCTTTGTACCCAGGTTAACTGTAAACTGACTTAATGATGTCACAATTAAGGAGCAGAAAACTAACTTAACCACAGGTTGCACTAATTTGATTAATTTATTTAAATGTGAAATGTAAAATCACACAAGGTTGCTCTGCTGCTTCTCACTGCCTCTGTTACAATGAGGTTTTCATTTTTTCTTACCTGTTTGAGTACTGCGGAGCAGCATGTAGAGAAAAATAAATAGCCCTGCCGCACAAAATAAATGTTGAGAAGCCCGGGCGTCAGTAGTCAGTGTAGCAGCTTCAGTTGGTTGTAATAGAAGTGCTCCTCTGCAGGCATGCTGCTGCAGACATGCCGTGACCCAAGTATTTCACCTGTTAGTCAGCGTTTGTTAACACAATGAACACTGGTTTCCACTAGTTATCCTGTTTTTAAGAAATATCAAAAGGTTGTTTTTTGCAATAATGAAAGATCAAAGTAGTTCTCAGGTGCACCATTGCTGATATGTATTGCACGTCTGTCCGTCCTGGAAGAGGGATCCCTCCTCAGTTGCTCTTCCTGAGGTTTCTACCGTTTTTTTCCCCCGTTAAAGGTTTTTTTTGGAGGGAGTTTTTCCTTATCCGCTGTGAGGGTCCTAAGGACAGAGGGATGTTGTATGCTGTAAAGCCCTGTGAGGCAAATTGTGATTTGTGATATTGGGTTTTATAAATAAAATTGATGATGATGATGATGATATGATGAAACAGCACTGTTGTCCAAAGAACATAACATAATTGATTTTTGATCTTGACAACAGTATGCAGAATTTTGTAACCAGGCTGCTTTTGGCTTCTGTACCCCAGAAATGTAATTGCAGTACAACTCAGAAACATCTGCGCTATTTTCCTCATGTAGTGGAAAATAGTTCTGAAGTATTCTAACTGTTGTTGTAATTGGTGCAAGTGGTAAAACTCAGGCTTGTTTTGTTGTGCCCAGATCCGTTCTAATGAGGATAAAATTAAGAAGATCTACTACAGCATCACTGGTCCAGGAGCTGATGAGCCTCCTGTTGGCCTTTTCACCATGGACAGAGACTCTGGTAATCTGTATCTCACACAACCACTTGACAGAGAGGAGAAAGACAAGTATACGGTAAGACTACGGTATAGTCTTATACAGTACATACACTCTTGTTTACTTTTCAGGACCAGATAGGGAGTTCTCCAGACACACTTTGTATTTTATTTCATTTCAGAATACATTATTTTAGAATCAGCATTAGACATGACAGCTTTATCTTAGTTAAAACTATTTTTTACTAGTCAGCACTATCAATTAAATTTTTTATTGCTACATGAAATCATATAAGGTATGTTATAAGTTTATAAGGATATAAGGTAGGATTGCTTGATTAATCGAATTTTAATCTAGATTACGATTTGGGCTTTCAATGATTATAAAAACAAAATAATTGACATAAAACGATAATGCGCTTCTTGTCAGTTTACTCTTGTTGTCTTGTGCTGCAAATGAAACACACCCGGAAGCCGCGCTTGCACAATAATGCCCCCTCCCCTCCTCTCCTCTATTCCGAAGATTTCAAAAAACGGAACAGAGTTTTCAAAAACTCTATTCCGAAGATTTCAAAAGTGTGTGTGTGTGTGTGTGTGTGTGTGTGTGTGTGTGCGCGTGCGTGCGTGTGCATCAGGGCCGAACTCCGCCGTGCGCAATACAGAGAGCGGAGGAGAATTGTAAACTCGCAACCATGTGGAGACAGAAATGACATGCCGTCGTGTAAATACGTCATCACGTGCGCCGCGTAATCGTGATTTAAATTTTGACCAGAATAATCGTGATTATGATTTTTTCCATTATCGAGCAGCCCTAAAATAAGATTCTAGTGATCTGTGTTGTTGTTGATGAGGGGAAGTGTGGTTGTTGTTTTTTATTAGCTACTGGACAGCTGGATTTCCCTCCGGGGATGAATAAAGTTCATTCTATTCTATTCTATTCTATTCCATTCCATTCCATTCCATTCCTGTAAATTCATTGATTGGCCTGGTGTATCTCGTACCTTCTCCCTGACCTCAACAGAGAAAGAAAGGGTGTTATCTGGGTGGTTGGGGACCTGATGATTCTCCTGGCCTTATTTTTGCAGGACCTGGTGTAAACAGTCTTTATGCAGGGTATACATACATGGAATGAGAGCATCTGCTTTGTTTATTCTTGCATGTGCAGTATTATAATACAAATATGTATGTTGTCTGCAGTTTCAAGCACACGCTGTATCAGATGGGTCAGGAAAGGCTGAGGAGCCTATGGAAATTGTGGTGAAAGTAATTGACCAGAACGACAACAAACCTGTTTTCAGTCAAGACACCTACCTGGGAGAAGTTGCTGAGGCCTCACCAAAAGGTACTGTCAGTGGATTTCATCTCAGCCTGAATAAGATCTGTGTTAGTGTTCAGCAGCATGTTTCACATTTACCAGACAAGTGCAAGATAGAACTTGTACAAGTTGACTTAAAGCTAATATAATCAAATCCAGGACCTGCTTCAACACACTGGGGAGTACTATACATTTTTTGTGATACACTCCAGAGTGGGACTTCTACAAAAGTGAGCATGCTAGTAAAGCTAAAGCCACCTCAGCTTGATAATTACATAGAAAGCTTCAGTTATACACTAAATGGGGAACTTGGTGGAGACAGAGTTTCAGATGGCAAATCAGAAATAACTTTGGATCATGGTAATTCCTCTCATCTGGCTGATGTCTAAATCTACCTTTTTTTTCTGCGTACGTATTGCATCATCGTAGTTAGTCTTTGGTTAGCAATAATAGATTGTTCGATATTGTAGGGATATTTTATCAGTTGATATTAGGCCTGCATGATATCAGGAAAAAACATTTTTGAATATTGCAATGACGATATGACTCGCACAAAAAAAGAAAAAGAAAAAAAAGAAGGGAAAAAAAAGAAATGCAGTAATATTAAGGTAAGGTAAACTTTATTGTCCCCTAAGGGAAATTCATCTTGGGCACAGTGCTACATTTCATTGCTTCACAGGACAAGATAAAAACATCATCACAGGGACAGTTCTATCACATAAAACAGACATGGACTACATATAACAATCACAACACAGAAACATACAGAGACGTCAAAAGTGCAAGAAAAAGTGCTGAGTACTAAAGTGCCGTGTTTGATAGGTTGTCCATGTAATGAGTCCCCGGGATCCACAGAAATGCAGTGATATTGATAGGCTGTCCATGCAGTAAGTCCCGGGACCCACAGGTGGTCATTTGAGTGGGTTCCCATTAAAAAAAAAAACTTGACAAATTCTAGTGCTAAACTGGTGTTTAATGTTATATGGTTCTAATTATGGTCATATTCATGAATGCTTAAAATGTATCTAAAAGTTCATTAACATCACAAACTAAAAAACTTTATTTACAAATCAGACTTTATATGTACCTGTATACACGGTCTACATACAAAACATTATACAAATGCCACATGTTGAGCAGAACTTAGAGAACCCCAGAATCATTTACCCAGTGTAAGGTCAATCATATGTGATATATGATTGTGATTTGTGATAATCCCACAGAAATAGCATTTCTATGTATATTCCATAAAAATTCAAATTAATTACTGTATGAATTTAGTAGTTCAACATTTTGAAAAATATGCAGTTTCTCTTTCAATCTGAGAAGAGTTTTTATGTTTCCTTTTCACTTACTGAGATGATGGGGGGGGGAGTAAACAACAAAACTGATCTTGTGCGACATACATGGTATATACAGGAAGAAAATGGTGGCTGCCAGTGAATAAATTTCTTCTGCACAGCGCATCCCCTGTACAGTTTAACATCATCAGGTTGTCCTCAACATGAGTCAATACTGTATCAGTAGAACGTCCCCTGGACAGTAAAACACAGTCATCACTGACATGAGTGAATACAACAAGTGCTGTCACAACAGATGTGTGACGTAAGACTACAGAAACATCTGTAGTATTATCCTACATATGTGTGAATTCTGGTGTATTTTATAAACATTAAAATACAAGGTTATGGTTTATTGGTGGTCCCTGGGGACTTCCGTGCAGAGCCATCTTCTTTACCAGGAAACAGCAGCGCACTGAGCTTCAGAGAGTCTGGGATGAGGACAGGTGGGTAGGCAGGTGTCAGATCTGTGCAGAGCACCAGAAAAAAAAACACAGACACATCACAGACAGTATGATCATAACACAAAACATACGTTTCACTGTCAGTGGTTTGTGTGACATGAGAAATACTTTCAAAACTCGTAAAGTCACCCAACGCCAGTGTTTCAATATGACATGCAGCATGTGAATGCATGGCACATGTAAATATACTCTTTATGACAGTTAAGCAGTCTTGTGATACCTATATCACACGTTGATATTGTGATGAAGGTACATTTTTGATATATTGTGCAGCCCTAGTTAATATGCAGGTATGACAAGACTACAGAATGACTTAACTCACTGACACTGCACACACACACACACACACACACACACCACAAACTCCAGGTGCATTGTTAGGTTGGAAAGAAAACTAGTATTCTGTTAACCCTGTGTGGCCCAGCTTTGCTTTGTAAATCGGCTCTTTAATGAAGTGCTCTGAATACTTTGAGAAACCTCTGTACTTCATTTTCACTTCTGACTTCCCTCTCTCTAGGTTTTGAAGTGATGAAGGTTGAGGCCACAGACAGTGACCAGCTGGATACTGACAACTCAGATATCCGCTACAGTATTAGAAGCCAGGAGCCAACATTGCCTAGTGACTCCCTGTTTGTCATCAACCCAGTCACTGGAGTCATCAGAGTTAATGCTAGTGGGCTAGACAGAGAGGTGAGGCTTCTGAAACTTATTTAACCGAAGGGCCCATACACATGCTGTGTCTTTAACCGCCTGGAAGACACAAGGTTGGGCACTGGGTGCTACTCTTGTGCCTACTCTGTGCCAACTTTGAAGAGTGCAGAGGCATTGTGTGGCTAAAGTTGCTAAGTGACCATAACCAGCACTATATCATAGCCTACTTACCAGAAATCCTGAGTTTGGAGCTGATCTTCCTCCAGGTGTTGTTTCTTGTCCATGGCATGGATGTAAAGCTCTGGCAGCCCTGCACAAAAATGATCAACTTCTTGATATTTAACACAGACTGATATTTACTGAAGAATGGAAAGATAGCTCTTGGCTGTACTTGGTTGTTCTTTCCACTATACATGCAGTGTGTGTGGCTGCGTTCCAAAAGTTGTCCTCTGTTTATCACATGACGCAGCCATCGTGCCCTGAAAAATAGGTGCTCGGGAACACTCCTGTTTTCTTGCTTGATTCGGTTCAGTTAGATGCTAGGTGAGGTGTAGATGCTTTCATGCTAGCTCATGTGCAGACTGAACAACACAGGGAAACCATGTAATAGATAATAGAGATACATTGATGCAAAACTGCAGATTGCGGAAACAAAGACAAATATAGCTGTAAGTGGAGATTACTGGGTTCAAGCCAGCGTGGATCTTTTAGAAGTTGAAGTTGCGAAGGATCAAGACGTTTGACAGTTTACGACAACTGCATTAAAGATAACCACCAGGTGTTATGATGATTAGACAGACCCTCATACATTTACAACCGAATCTGTGCTGGGTCATGCTCTTCCTTGGTGCAACTGTCACCCCTTACTGGTCAATTGCAAAAGCATTTTGAGGACACGCTTCAATATTTGAGTTTGGTGATGTTTTGACAAACTACTTTAAGGGTCAAATTTTGCACAAGGCCAATGCACTTGTTTGGAACTGGTGGCTCCCCCTGTTGAGTGATTTTAAGATAACTTTATACATGGGGTTCAACATTCTCACTAAAAATATCCTGCAAGTTTTGTAATGATCGGGCAGTTTCTTGTTCTACAGTTTGATTTGTTACGCCACGTGTTATCATGTAACATCATTACAGCAGCTGAGGCTAATGGGAATGTCATTACTTTCACAGCTATTTAAAATGTCTTAATGGATTTTGTTCCAACTGCATTTAACTTTTATGTCTCTTTACAGAAATACCCAAAATACACTTTGGTGGTACAAGCAGCTGACATGATGGGAGAAGGGTTAACGGGAACAGCAAAAGTCATTCTTACGGTCACAGATAGCAACGACAATGCTCCAGCCTTCACTCAGCCCGCCGTAAGTACAACATACATATAACCAGGCACAGCAGATCTGTCAAGCTTCAGAGCAGTGTCCATGGGGCAATAGAAAGGACTTTAGTCAATGTTTTCATTTTTTATGCGGTAGCATTACAGTTGATGTGTATGAACCGGTATCATACATGGTCAACTTTAAAACAAAAACGGCTTTGCTTGAGAAGGTAGCCCATCATAATAAATTTTTGGTAACATTATAGATTGTAAACAATAAAGAACTGCTCCTTTTATTATTTTACTCAGCAGTTTGAGTAGTATATGATCGCAGTTTTAGTCCTGATAGTTTATGACATGATTGAATTATCTTTGCATCTTCAACAATGCATTTTATATATGATGACAACTCTTACACTCAAAATATCTGTTTGATGTTGAAAGGTAAGTTTTAGATACTTTCTGGCTAAAAGTGAGTGAACTGTATTAAACAGAGTATCCCAAAGCTGTACAGGGAAGTAATTAACGAAACTGCATCAAGCAACATTTTTTTTTTAAAATCCTTGTTTTTTTCTGTTTCACCAAAAACACATCCCTTGCATTACAGTATGAAGCAACAGTTCCAGAAAATAAAGTGGACGCTCAGGTCATTACAGTGTCAGTAACAGATGGTGACCAGCCACATTCCCCAGCCTGGAACGCCAAGTTCACGATTGTCGATGGTGATCCTGGAGGACTTTTCACTGTGAAAACAGGAAGTAACAAACATGAAGGAATCATTTCTACTGCTAAGGTGGGAAGTAAACCAAGAATTTTCAAATAAGACACAATATTAAACCTGTGATGTTTTTCAGTGTCAATCATTGTTATGTAGTATCCAGGTAAAACAAAAAGTAATAAGGGAGTTTAAGTTTTAATCCTAGACCTCACTGAACTGCTGCGGCTTATGTGTGCCATGTTCACACAGTAGTGTTGTCACGATACCAAAATCTTTGTTTCGGTACCAATACCAATATGAATTTCGATACTCTTCGGTACTTTTCCTAAGAAAAAGTCCTTTTGGATACAAACCTTTAGAACAATAAATAGTAGGGGAGTAACGGTACCAAAAAAATCATGGTTCGGTAAGTACCTCAGTAAAGAAGTCACGGTTTGGTAACTAAAATGTTCCACCAAGTTTGTGTTGTCTCGTGTTGTCTCCCTTTGTGAGGCAGACTTTCTCTTGTCTTTTTTCACGTGCGCCAGCTGCGAATGTTGATACAGGTGTTGTCATACACACCACTTGCGCAATCTGTGCTCCAATAGGAACAAGAAAGGCGTTTGTGTGCATAAATGAGTAAAATAAATTAACTAAATTAATGAATTGAATCAGTTTCAAAGTACAGGTATTTTCCGAATGCAGTATAGTACCGTTTTGAATACTCTAGTACCACGGTACTATTTTAGTACCGGTATACCGTGCAACACTATCACACAGATAGTGTTGCTGCTGCAGAACTGTATGTTACTCTTGGTACGGTATTTCTACAATTAAAAGCTGGTACTAAACTTATTTATGGAGCTGTGCAAACCACTACCTTTTCAACCACATGGTCCTGCAAATATTTCACAATGAAAATAAAAGCCTCGTGTTAACAAATGAAGGGATTCTGTCCATAGAAATGTCGTCAGAGGGCTGTTATTTTGAAACAGAGACAGGAAGTGTGGAGTTAAAAATAAAAGCGCTAACCTGTTAACATGGGTGCCGGAAAAAAAAATACAAGAGTTTTTGCAATGTACGTGTGCTGCTCACACAGGCAGTTTGTTCAGGTTGTAAGACATTTATCTGATGTGCTGCTGTGCTTTTTCCTTCATGCAACCAGGGTCTTGACTTTGAGAGGAGCACCAAGCACACTCTGCTGGTTGCAGTGGAGAATGAGGTTCCTTTTGCTACTCCACTGCCTACTGCCACCGCCACAGTGGTGGTGAATGTGCAGGACGTCAATGAGGCGCCGGTGTTTGATCCAGTGCAGAAGCATGTGTCCAAACGGGAGGACCTTGCCATCAACAGTGATGTAGTGCGATACACCGCTTCTGACCCAGACACTGCACGCAAACAGACAGTCGGGTAAGGTCAAACTTTGTTGTACCATGTTATTTAGAACATGTACTTAAACACAAGATTATTACTGCTAGAGGAAATTAGGAAAAGGAAATTGTAAAACAAGATTTTAAGTGACCCCCGTAATTCTCTAATCTTAAAAGAGCAGCAAAGAGAGTGCATTCATCACCAGAACATCTAATGGCTCACTTATGCTACATAGATAAATTTATATGGACACTGACCATGTAAATATTGTCTGTATTAGCACACATTTTCTAAAAACTTTTGGATATAGACTAAATGTGGCAGCACCACTGGAGGTTGTAGGGGCAGGGTAGTGTAGTTCAAACAAATAAAGACCATGGGAGTTGACAGCAGGCCTGGAATTTCATCATTTTAGGGGCAAGGCCACTTGGCCTTTCGTGTTGTCAATTTTTTTGAGAGCACAAAGGCCAAAAGCCAGGGCAGCAAGGTCATAAAATAAAACAATGATTTTAAGTCCACGTCCATAATGAATTTAAGGATTAAGGATGTATAACTATCTGTGAAATGAATAAATAAAACAAGCTCAAGTAATAATAATGAGTATAATAGGTAATAATGTGATTTATTTAATAGTAGTAATAAACCCAATGTGTTTTAAATATAGAACAACCAGGTTTATGTATTTATAAGCAAACAATAAAATATAAAATAAAATATTAAATATTAAATATTAGGCCTGGCCTATTTTTGAGTGTACATGATAAACTGTTTCACTGAACAAGACTGGCTTATAGTTATTTTTGATGTGTTGTTAGATAGCTAAGAAACAAACAAACTACAGCAGGGCTATTCAATTACTATTTCAACTGGGCCGCATTTCAAAACCAGATGATGTCGATGGGCCACATTTTTAGCAGCGAGCAACAGATCCACTTATATACAGGCATGGCCCTTCTCAACATAATACAGAAACAATAAAAATGAGCTATCAATGCACAGAAGCATAATAAGTGACATTAACAGTATCTAATAACACACACTATCTCTCTACCAGCATCTCCCTCTCCCCTCTCCTCCACACACACACATGCACACACCTCACCTCCTGCTGCTTTCCTTACAGGTCAGTTACACAAGATATAGTTTTATACAGTCCATGGCAGCAACAGTCATGTTTACAACAAAGTCACTATTTAAAACCCAATAATATCTCACTGGAATAAATAAAATAAATATTCCTCCTGACATCACAATACTGAGTGAAGAAAGTCACGTTATCTCCGCATGAAGACAAACATCAGTATTAATCATTCATCCTGCTCTCTGTCCCTCCTCTACTGAGGACACTCACTGTCTGCAGGTCGGCTGCCTCAGGTACATGTTCAGATAAAGTGTTAGCCTACATACAGACAGCTTTCATTTTAGTTTGTCTTTAACAGTTTGCTGTTAGCCTTGCGAGTGCGATGTGCTTGTGTCGACCGCGATCATAAATCATAATAGCGGTGAATGAGAGAATCATATTTCAACAACAGAGCAGATTGAAATTTGGCTTTCTACATGCTGACCACATGTATTGATAAAGTATTGGCTTGGCTGGCAGAGGTTTTATTGCACTTACTTACAGTAACAAGAGTAGTTGTCATTAACTAGAGTAATCTTGAAGTTATATTCCCTTCATCTGCACCGCGGCCTCTCTGCTGCGCGCGCGCTGTGAGGAGGTCAGCCCTGTTGTTATAGCCTGTCCAAGTGGTTCATGCCAGGCTCGAATCAAACCCACCACTGGTGAAGTACGCATCTTCTCATTTGATGTTGCCCAATAAGAATCCAGAATGTCATCGCATTTTTTTTTCTCAAAAGACACTGGTGTCAAAGCCGTGTTGACTGGAAAAAGGCAGAGTAGAAAACCGCAGAATCACCTGGGCAGTGCAGGCGGGGCATCAAGGCCACTATGGTCTTAGGGCAGATATTTTTTTCAAGGGCACAGGGCCAAATGGCCCTTGTGAAATTCCTGCCCTGGTTGACAGACAATTTAAAAATGGCAGAATGGAAAAAAGTTGGTAATGTAGTGAAAAGAATTCTCTGTCCACATGTTGCAGTATTTAAGGGCCGCACAGAACACTGCCTCCACTGAAAAGTACATTATTATGGCCCAATCCCAGTACACCCCTTAACCCTACCACTTGCCCCTACCCCTCCGTTTTGCACGTTCACGCATAGGGGTAGGGATGTCCCGATTCTCATTGAGGCAGAGGGGAAGGGCGGAGTGCTAGGGCTATATGGCCCTTCAAACGGAGTTTTTTCAGAGGCACACTTCAAAGCGAGTGCTACGAGAAATCTCCCAGAATGCCTTGTGAATCACCGGCAAGATGGTAGGGAATGCTTCAGAGGCAATGAAAGAAAACCATAAATGTAAGTATTTTCTTCATAACTAAAGATTTAAAGACTATGATAACCATCGGAAATGTCGTTTCAATGTATTATATACATTTGTTCTAACAAACATAACAAAAAAAATCGCTAGTTGTGAGGTTTCCCCGGCAACATACTCGTCACGTCTTTTTATGACGTCACTGACGACTAATGATGACGTTTCCGGTTATGAAGGGTTGTCCCATTTCATAGGGGAATATTTCAACCCCTACCCCTTGTAACTTTGTTGCAAGGGGCACTCGAAAAAGAGGGGTATGGGTAGGGGTAGGGGCGAAAATGAGAAATGGGATTGGGCCTATGACCTCCTCCATCAACACCTAGTTTGTTGTCAGATACTTTCGACTCTGCCCTCTAGTGCCATCTAGAGGATGTATCTAAGCCAACATAAGTATAAATAAGCCTTTAGGTGGCTGATGATGACTGGATCACTGGGGATGAAATGTAAAATGAGCTGAGATTTTTGTGAATGTGATAAGCTCATGTAGAGGCTACAAAACCAACCATATAGATGGCTGGGCAGAAGGGGCACTAAATACCTCTATTGGATAAGGACAGTTAATGATAGGAATTAAGTATGGAGTGAGAAAGTAATTTTAATCAATGTAAATTTACTGTTGGGAGGGTTTTTTTAACTTATAAAATGTAAAGCAGTAAAAACTCAAGTGTAGACAGGATTTACTACACTAACTTGTGTCTTGCAAAATTTAGTCAATCCTTGCTTTGCTTCAACATATTAAAATTATGATGATTTTTTTGAGTTGGATGTTTTCCCTGCTGAGAACTGCTGAGATTGAGGACCTGCCTCACATTAAATAACTGTAGGCTAGGGCTGGGTGATATCATAACAATATATCAACCTATTTTCAAGCAAGATATAAATTTAGATAATAGCATTTATATTGATAAAGGATCAAGTTGCGTTAAATAATGCTGTGATGCAGGTGAGTGTGCATCTCTCCTCTCTCACTCTCTCCGCACAGCTCCGCCCCACTCACTCACCCACAAGTTCCCCATCAACACTAAAGCCCCGAATCCACCGAGCAGTACAGTATGGTACAGTTCAGTTCAGTTCGGTAGGCCTTTTTTTCCATTTCCACTGTGAAAAGTTGTGGATAGTACCAATGGAACCGTTCCATACTGTTACAACTTTTCAGACCCCTTCTGTTGGGGTACTTATTACACAGATCTGGTACTAAAAGGTGGAGCTGTGAACACTGCAGTCCGTTGATTGGTCAGTAGCGGACGGTCACTCTGCTCAGGGCTAAGCTGTGGCTGGTTTTGAGGCTCAAGTAACTACTGTTCGTACCCTGGAGAGTTTATTAGTAGACTGTAACTACTAAATGAAAGGATGTTTTGCTGTCTCTTGCAGCAGCTGTAGTCGGAGAAAAAGTAACTTATTTCACTGGATCAACTGCAGGCAACTTTTAAGGTGGAGAAGAGAGACACAGAGCTGCTACTCTGTTTAATCTGTCTGTTAATTAGTCTATAGTGGCACATTGGGCTTTATGTTGCACATGCTACGCTAAATCAGTCTGTGAGATGAATTAAGTGACCGCAGTAGCTCATGTGCAATATTTATGGGAGACAGATCTGCTTGATTGTCAGGTAAACATTTGTTTGCTAGTATGTGTGTGAGGTGGACATAGCACACTGCCATTCTTCTTGGTAGTTGTAGTCTATTGTGTGACATTGTGATGGCGCTTGGATACAGGTGACAGATGGGTTTTTAAAAAATGCAGTGACAACACAAACATTTCATACACAGGACGTATATAACACAGGCAAACTGTCTCTCGCTCCCTCCTTCCCTTGGCCTATCTGATGATGCTATGTGCATTAATGAGACTAATAGTCTAAACAAATAAAAATATTTGAATCATTTCCCAGCACTAGATTCATTCGAAAGGCCATGGAAAACTACTTTATAACTCCCCCCCACAAAGATTTTGAAGTGTTTCAATCAACAATGGATTTAGACCTACTTGATACTTTTATACCCATGTTATAGTTTTGTGTCCTGTGCTGCAAACCTTTAAACCTCTGTAGCCCCAGTGCTATATGCAAAACGTTAACATACAGCCCGCTATTTCTTTTATATAATTTTTCGTTTACATGTTGTGCAGCAGTGTATTTTCAAACGGGAAAAAATCCCTGTCTTTGCATTTAATTTTAATCGCAGTCACAGTCGGTTTTTATTAAAGTGCTTGTGACATCTCAAATGTAGCCTTTTTTTTTCTGTCTCTCAAGATATATTTTTGGGGCATTTTTGCCTTTAATTGACATGACAGCTAAGCATTGGGGGGGGGGGGGGGGGGGGGGGGGAGAGAGAGAGAGAGATGCAGCAAAGGGCCACAGGCTGGAGTCAAAACCGGGCTGCTGCAGCAACAGCCTTGTACATGGGGCACCTGCTTTATCCACTAAGCCACCAACGCCCCACCTCAAATGTAGCTTTGACTTGCAACTGATCATGTAGCCCATTTCATAGAAAAAACAGAGATTTACATCTTTTTGTGATAATCTTGTTTATGTCCAGGTATAAAATTATTAGAGACCCTGCCGGCTGGCTGTCTGTGGGCAAAGACACAGGCGTGATCAAACTTAAAAATCTCATGGACAGAGAGTCCCCCTTCGTCAAGGACAACAAATACACGGCGCTCATTGGTGCATATGACAATGGTAGGTGGAAGGCAACACTTACACATCCACATGCTCATTGGGTTGTCTGTACTTTTTTAGGGCTAGAAAATATGGGCTTAATCTTACTGTCATGTTATAGCTTCTCTAGAACAGAATGGTTTCTGATGTGCGTTTCTGTGTTCATGTCTGTCACCAGATGAAATACCAGCCACAGGAACTGGTACTCTAATAATCCAGCTCGAAGATGTCAATGACAATGCACCCACCATTGAGGAACGTGTAATCAAGGTGCGTCTTCTTCCCCCAGTACTTAACAGTTTTTGAGCAATTTTAATGTAAATGAAAAATTTGTATTCTGTGTTGGTATGTGGTGTTTCAAATATATCACACACTAACATGAACCAGCAAACAAAGAGTTGAGTGTGACATTGTGTTTTCTCAGATATGTAACAAGAAATCAGCACCTCAGCTGCTGTCAGTAACAGATAAAGATGGACCGGGCAATGCTGCTCCATACAGCATCTCTCTACAGGGCATGTCCAAGACCAACTGGACCGCTAGGATGAACGAATCCAGTATGTACACTATTTATACAAGACTAAAATGTTGTTTTTACGCATAGCAAGCAACAAACTAATGCCATCCAGTCAAATAGCCAGACCCAGGAGAAACTCGTAGGTCATTCTTGGGGAAAAATTATAGATAAGTATAAGGTTTTAAAAAGTCAGCAGAAAAAAAACAATTAATAGATCAAGAAAGATAGTATAAAATATTTCACACTGTTTACGAGCCGAAAATTTCCCTGAAATTGTCCAAACCAGATGTTCTGTAAAGATGAGCACAAAGTGTAGTGTTTTTTTATGAATGGATTCATAATGTAGTAGGGAAAAGTGTGGACTTTTTTTGGGGGGGGGGGAGCAAGCAGGGAAACATATTTGTGTTTCTAGAATATTGCCCCTATTCTGTTTTCTAAAACATAAACTTCAGAATTTCTAAAAATAACAATTATTGATCATATAAGCAGTGTTTTTCATTGCATTTGGAGCAGGCAGCCAGCATAGCCGAAATTTCTGCAACTATGTGAGAGAGTACAGGCCAGAGCGAGCTTGATGTTGTCAAAAGCAAGGCAAGAAGTATGGCGTGAGACTGAACGCATGCTCCTCTTTCACTGTGTCACAGCAGCAACAGCTCTGCCCCAGCTGCCTTGTAAGTGAACCAAATCTGGAAATCTGCAACCAAATTAGTTTGAAACAAAATATTTCTGAAGTACGCTGTGTGATGTAGTTATCAGAAAAGTAAATTAACTATCTTTTCTGCATAGATAAACCCTTATGGCTGCCTTGATTGTGGTTTCCATGGTAACAGTAAATAAGCAGTACAGACATTTCCAATTCGTTTTCGCTTCTTATTTTTAAAAGAGACAAAAAAACACGGGAGTAACAATAATCTAATTATCCATGAACAGTATAAAGGGTAAATAATCAGAGTACAGGTGAGATCGGCTATTTCACGTCCTGCTTGGGCAGAGATGAATTTGTCGTGGTTTGGTGTTAATTTATTTGTATGAGCTACAGTACCTAGCTACTATCTATTTTTTGGTAACATAAAAGCTTACATAATCAGAATGTAACATACATGTTATCAGTTGTATTTTAAAAACATTTGGTTACATCAAACACCTAACTATTTAAACATTTAAACTTTTCAAATAGGGTCTGAATAATCTCCTGCAAAGTCTGGAGATTAGAGTCTGGAAAAGAATGGAATTTGTGTAGGAACCCTGCTTTCAGGTCCCAGTTGTTTGAGAGATTTAAGCAATTTGAGTTAATTGGTGCCGTGACAGCTCAGTGAAAAGGGGCCCGTCATGCAATGCATTTAGAAGGAGGATGGTTTGTTTAGGCCAGAATGTGCTTTAAATTATTTGTGGAAAAAATGCAGTCATAACATTTGTGTTCACAAAAATGTTTATTGTGTTTGACAAAATGACCTTGATTTTCTTCTTCATTGCAGAAACGGGTATCATCCTGAATTTAGTCACTGAGCTACCCAGTGGAGAGTACACTGTGCTCCTGAGGGTTGCAGACAACCAGGGCTTGTGGCAGGACAGCACTGTCCAGGCCACAGTTTGTGACTGCACTGGGGAGGAGGTATCCTGCAAAGGGCGTGTGGCAGGTGGCACTGAACTGCCCGTTATCCTGGGAATACTGGGAGGCATCCTGTTATTACTCAGTAAGTCTGATAGTTTATTTTAGTTATATATGTAAGGTTGCTTATCATAATTCCAGGGACTGTGGATGTAAATTATAGCTTGCATGTAAGAGAAATTTTGAAGTTTTGCATCACAACTAGAGTTTGAACCCTGGAAGATATTTCGGTAGTTAAGTCTGGAAAGAAAAAGATAACCTGCAACTGGAGGATTATAACTCAATCAGTTTGGTGTATGGGATGCTGTGACCAGCCAAGTCAAGTCAATTTCAGTTTTAATTTATATAGCTTTTATTTTATATATATATATATATATAT